AGCCTTGCGGGGTGGTCTCTCGGTGTTGGCTAGTGCCCCACCACTCAGCTCTCTCTCTCTCTCTCTCTCTCCAGGTCTGCAACGGGCTGGTGCAGACGACCGGCTGGCCGTCCGTCGTCACCTGCGTGGGGAACTGGTTTGGGAAGGGCAAGTGAGTGTCCCCCCGACCTGTCCCACCCTGCACCCCCTCCCTGGCGGTCCCTGCACCCCAGCTCTGCTTCCCTCCCACCAGGAGGGGTTTGATCATGGGCGTCTGGAACTCCCACACCTCCGTCGGGAACATTCTGGGGTCGCTCATCGCCGGCGTTTGGGTGTCCTCGGCGTGGGGCTTGTCCTTCATCGTGCCCGGCATCGTCATCGCCGCCATGGGCGTCATCTGCTTCTTCTTCCTCGTGGAGTGTGAGTGGTGGGGGGTGTCACCCACAGCACAGCTCGGCGCCCAGACAGGCCATTTTCCCTCTTCCCCATCTCCAAGTCTTTTTGGCAATCCCAAATATTTACTCCTGGCTTGTGGGGATGAGGATCCCACCCCCGTGGAGATCCTTGGGGATCCAACTCAGCCCCTGTGCTGGTCCCTCCTCTCAGCCTGTCCTTCTAGGAGACTTTTGGGAAGCCCTTTGGGATCTCACTGGGATTTTTTGCTGCTGGGAGGGGGGTACCTGGAGATGCAGCTCGGCCCGGGGGGTTCCCAGCCCCACATTTCTCCCACGGGATGAGATGCTGGAGGAGGAAAGGGCCTTCTCCAGGATCTCACGGGACCTCCTTTCTCCCTGTAGATCCCGAGGACGTCGGCTGCAGTCCACCTCTCCATCACGTGAGTCAAATGGATTCCCAAGGAGTCCCTGGGACATCCTTGGGGTGTCCTGGGCTGTGTGAGGTCGCTGACCTTGAGCCCCTTGCAGGAGGACATCTCCTACCTTTGGCTTGCTTTCAGACGTCCGCCGACGAAGATCCTGGAGGGGTGACCACCAGCGAGAAGGATCCTGAAGGCATCACCTCCAACGAGGGGCCTCTGAGCAGCTCAGATCACTCCAAGGAACCGGCCGAGGAGCCCGAAGCCATCAGCTTCATCGGGGCGCTCCGGATACCCGTGAGTGGCAGGATGTCCCTTGCAGCACGGTGGGGTGGAGAGATGAACCAAGCCAGGGCAGCTCATCCCATCAAGAGGGTGCCAATCGAGCAGAAAACGGGGTGAGACCCCACCATCCAGAGGAGGCTTGGAGAAGGAGGTTCCTCTGATGCCTCCCCCTCTCCTCCCAGGGCGTGGTGGAGTTCTCCCTGTGCCTGCTCTTCGCCAAGCTGGTGAGCTACACCTTCCTCTACTGGCTGCCCCTCTACATCGTGAACGTTGGTGAGTTTTGGGGCGCGGTGAGGTGGGGGCAGCCTGGCAGGGGAACATCTCCCCACCCCTCTCCTCTCCCTTCCAGCTCATTTCGGCGCCAAGGAAGCCGGGGACCTCTCCACCCTCTTTGACGTCGGGGGCATTTTAGGTTTGTCACCTGGCTGGGCAGGGGTGGCCGGGGGGATGATTCGAGGACAATCCTGACCTCCATGGCAGGTCTTCTCCCTGGGGAGGGCTTTTTCCAGTGCCACCACCTCTTCCCTGGAGCCCCATAGCCACGCTTATTCGGCAGCTGTAGTGCTCAGCAGCAGCAGACACCCCTCACTTTGATTTTGCCAACCAGGTGGCCACCACAACACTTCCCCTCGGGTCCCACTTGCTCAGGTTCTCCTTGGTCTTGGGGAAGGGTGCTTAGCAAGCGTGGAGGGGCCCAA